ATGGGCAACGCCGAGTGCTCGGTGCAGCTGGCCCAGAAGTGCGACCTGGCCAGGGACGGGCTCGCCTCCGGCGCGGCCTCGGCCCAGAACGCCCTCGCCGCCTCGTCCTACTCGGCGTGCCACGCGTGCCGGAGCCGGGGCCCACGTCGACTCGGCCGATCCGCTTCGTGGCCGGCTCGGGCCGAGTTGATCCCATCCGGCGGTCCGGTGCGGCCCGATGCTTGCCTTGCGTTGTTGTGCATCCTTGCACGGCCGATGCGGCGCGGTCTCGATTCCGAGCCGATGCAGCCCGATCCGATGCACGCTCGCAGCTGGTGCGAGCGCGCGGTTCGGTGCCGAGCGTTCCTGGCAGGAGCACGACCGGCCTGAGCGACAAGGAGTGTGCGGACGTCCTGCTCGTCAACGCGGCCGTGCGCGGGGACGTGGAGGACCTGCAGCGGGCCTTGGAGCTGGGGGCCTCGGTGGACACCACGGCGGAGCTGACGCTGACGATGGGAGACCTGAGCAAGGCGGGGGCCCCCCTGGGAGGTCGAGCGTCGTCGGGCGTCGTCGAGCGTCGTTGGGCACCGCCATTTAGTCGTCGTCGTCGTCGTCGTCGTCGTCGTCGTCGTCGTCGTCGTCGTCGTCGAGCGTCGTCGAGCGTCGTCGAGCGTTGTCGGGCGTCGTCGGGCGTCGTCGAGCATCGACGGGCGTTGTGTAGCGTCGACGGGCGTCGCCATCGTCGTGTTCGTCGCTGTTGTCGTGTTCGTCGTCGTCGTCGAGCGTCGTACAGCGTCGTGGTCGTCGCAGATCGTCGTGGTCGTCGCAGAACGTCGTGGTCGTCGAGCGCCTTCGGCCGTCCGAAGCTCGTGCTCATGCGCCTTTCCGCTCGTCTTGAGTCGGGTATGCCCCTCTGCAGGAGGAATAGTCCCAAGTAGTCAGAAATAGCGTGGGGACGATCTTTGGACTGTTTTGGAACATTTTTGAATACTTGTTTGACAAGTCTTTATTCGGAAACTGGAGCATATACATTACCAGTGGCGGGCTGTGTTTCAATCCCAGGATTTTTGTAGGGTCGGGGGCGACATCGGGGCGGTGTGGTGTATACTTTTACCCCGCTTTCCCGAGGAAGCAACGAAACATGCACACACCAGGATCCCGTATACACCAGGATCCGCTTTCCTGTGCGAGTTTCAGTGCAGGGCCCGAAATAGCGTTGGTGTATGGAGTTCGGTTCCCTATTTATCCTTCCTCAAAAATCCGCCTGTAAGAGGACCCGCCCGACCTGACGCTCGTCTGCTCCCCCCGCCCGCGAGGGCGTCCGGCCCGCCCCCACGCACGTCACGCCGCTGATGCGGGCCGCGGAGCTGGGGCACGCGGGTGCCGTCGAGCGGCTGCTGCGGTCCAAGGCCTCGTCCGTCCTTCTCCTCCTCCTCCTCCTCCTCTCATCTCTGGCCTTCGCCTCCTCCTTGTGGGAGGAAGAGGAGGAGGTGGTGGAGGTGGAGGAGGAGGCGGAGGAGGAGTAGTAGTCCTTCTGCTGATCTTTCCTCAGGTTCTTCCTCCTGCTCCCACTGCCCTCCCTCTGCCCTCCCTTTGTCCTCTTTCCTCCCCCTTTCTTGAGGTTCCTCCTCCTTTGGCTGCATCCTCCTCGCCTCCGCCCTGATGGGGTTTGTAGACAAGCCCTCCTCCCTCACTCCCTCCTTTCTTCTTCTCGCCCCGCCCCTCACTCTCTCACTCCCCCATCCCCCTCGTTGTTGCTAAAGCTTCCTCGGCCCACCTCACTTCCTCCTCCTTCCTCCCTCCCCCTGGCCTCCTCATCCCTCTCCTCCTCCTCCTCCTCCTCCTCCTCCTCCTCCTCCTCCTCCTCCTCCTCCTACATCTCTTTCCCTTGTAAATAACTCCCCGTCGCACCCTCAGAAGGCTTGTTTGGGCGGGCCGGCCGTTTGGCCTGCGACTTCTCACCATTCATGTTCCTGAAGCTTGAAGTTTGCAACAGTTTCATGGATGGAGGGCGGGCCGTTTTCAATTTGTGGCTCTCGCATTAGCGCCGCGCGCATTCTTCTTCAGCCTTTGAAGCAGTTTCACGCATGGAAGGCTGGTCGTTTTCAAAAGGTGGCTATCGCCGTAGCGCCGCTCACATCCATCTTTCAACTTACGGCTGTTTGAGATATTCGTATGCTTTGAAGTCCCAGGAATGGTTGGTATTCTGGCACGGTTTCGGATTGTCAGGACGCAACATGTATGTTGATTCGCAGTGTTGAAATGCCACGAGTGGCGTTCTCGCACGATGTAGGGATTTCAGGACGTCGCAGTCACGTTGATCCGCGGCCTTGAAATCTCAGGAATGGTGTTTTGGCATCGTTGAGGATTCTCAGACGGTTGTCTTCTAATGGGCCACTGCCCGCAATCAATGTAATGTGTTGTAGGAACTTATGAGGAGGGAACTTGGACGAAGGGTTTATCGATACATCGTTGATGCGTCTTGGGTATAAACTGGTCCTCCTTCTCCTCCTCCCCCTTCTCCTTCCTCCTGCTCCTCCACCCCAACTGGCCGTATCAGGTCTCGAAAAGACCGCGCCACTTCAGAATTCAGGAAATGTCTGAAGCGACAGCAGCATCCAGCCGTGTCAGCAGAGTGTTCAGCGGCGCTTCTTGGGCAGGTGAGTTTCGTTTCTTACAACCCGCATAACGCCACCCGTGGGCGCGCCCAGGACCATATTAGACGAATCGCATAACGTGACAGTCGTGGCCCTCATCGGCACACAGGAGAAGGAAATGCAGGGACCCAGGGAGATACGTCGCCTGTCTTCGTTCTGGGGGTTACACAGAAGGATGGAACAGTGGAGCGATGTCTAACAGATCTTGTGGCATTCGCATTTGGTTTCGCAACCGTTTTTTTTGCAGACCCGCTCACTTCCGAAGAGTAATACCAGTCCCCAGGGGGCTTCAGGGCAGAGTCTTGGGATGCAGAGTAGAAAGGCAGTCAATTCGTGTAGCGTTTATTTCCATGTACTTCCCGCCATGCACACGGAACATCGCTGAACAGTTCAAACCTCTGGATTGTTGTGAGGCGATTGTGCGATGGCTTTCTCGGATAGTTGGCTCGATGGCGGGAAGATGGGTACAAGTTACCACAATGGATCTGAGCTCAGCTTTTACAGAAAATGTCGAGGGAATTGTAGGGTCGTGCAGACACGGCGAGGAGGAGAGAAGGTCAGCAACGTTGCCCAAACCAGTTCTCATTGCCCACGACATGTGCATGATATATACGATGCGAGACGCAGGACACATTTTTTGCTTCCAGTCGGGTGGCGAGGACACTCGATTACATACATTGCCTTGCCATCAGCACTTCAGGCTTCGGTCCAGTGGTGCACGACATTCAGAAGAACTATGAGAAGGCTGCAGCCGCACAGGTGGGGGAGGAAGTGGGACCACCAATCGCTGGGTATAGGAGTGCGATGAAGCAGGAGCATGCCACGCAAGAGAAGTAGCAGCGCATAGGACCTTCGGCAGCGAGCGTGCTTCTACAGAGAGGCTACATAATGCGAGAGTTCACAAATATCGTGGATGATACAACATCGGCCAAAGCTGCATGGGTGAGAAGTCAACCTGGATATATCATGGCGGTGGCTGCAAGCCAACTATTCGTCGAGGCGCTGGAGGCAGGAGCGAGAGCGACGTGTGCAAAAAGGAAAGATACACCGAGAGCCACGAGCTGTACGCGAAGGAGCTGCGCCAGCTACTACAACGAAGACGAGAGGTGCGTGAGCGACTGGCGTGGGCATGCACTGTGAAGAACGAGGACGCGCAGCTGGAGCTCACCATCAGGATCACGACCATAAGCAAGTGGCTGAGGCAGCACAAACGGCAGCATTGGCAGAGACTCGAAGAGGATCGGGTGCGGGCCTTGACAGAGGCACGACAGCACCGTGATGTTCATGAAGTGCATCGGCCGGCGAGAATCCTCGCGGCCAAAGGACGAGGGCCGCGATGGCGTAGCTACCGACAGTTACAGACCAGTCGAACAGCTACCGAATGGACCACGAGGATGCAAGAAGTAGGCGCGCAAGGTGGCGCATCAGTTCGAGTCGTTGACTACGCCGCAACGCTGCAGATGCTGCGCGAGCTACCCGAGCAGTTCAACGCCGTGACAGCCGAGGAGACGGAGGAGGGCGTCGGGGTCGTCGAGCGAGAGGTTTTGCGGCTGCAGTTGCGGCGAGTGGCTCCGCAGGAGAACCTCGGTTCCGAGTTCTATCGCGCGGCCATGTTTCCCAACTGGGCCAACGAGGGGCGCAAGCAGATGAACTGCGGTGTCGGCTACGAGCACGAGCAGGAGGAGAAGATTTCGGCTCTGCCCATTGATTTCATTCCGTGGTGTCTTTTCAAAGGAATTCGGGAGATGGGCAAGCTACCCATGTCTTGGATTCTGTCCGACGCACGCAATACAAGGAAAGGCAATCATAAGGAGGGAGTTGACAGAGAGAGACTCATCATGCTTGTGTGTGCCATAGCGAAGGCGTGCTGCATATGTTTGCTGACGAGAGGCACCTTACCTTAGGTGGAGTCGTGGATGTGCGGATGTCTACCTGGCAGGCGACGCGACGGGAGGCAGCAGTTATCGTTCAGCAGGCCTTCTCATGGGGGAAACCCGAGCCGGCCAGTCGCGCGTCGAGAGGCTCCACGACGCGGCCACCGCCATTCTACAGCATCGACCGCGGCAGCCTGCGCGAGGAGATTGGGCACTTTTCCGCGAGGAGGACTGGTAGATCATGAAGTTCAGGGCCGCTCTCGCGTGCTTCGGAGCACCGGGCGACTCAGCCAACAGTGTCCTTCTATTGCAGCAAGGACGTCAACCAGGAAACCCGGCGATGGCGAGGCTGTTCGTGGGAGCGTGCGCCACACAATGGGAATGGGCCCCTCCTCCTCCTCCTCCTTCTCCTCCGTCTCCTCCTCCTCCTCCCTTTCCTCCTCCCCCTCCTCCTCCTTCTCCTCCTCCTCCTCCTCCTCCTCCTCTATCCTCATTGTCCTCCTCCTCTCCTTGTCCCGTTTTTCCTCCTCCTCCTTCTCCTCCTCCTCCTGATCCTCGTCCTCATCCTCCTCCTCATCCTCATCCTCGTTCTTCTTCTTGTCCTCCTTCTCCCCCCATTCCTTCTCTTCCTCCTCCTGTTTCTCCTCCTCCACCTTCCTCCTTGTCTGGGAGTTTGCAGAATGGTGTGGACAAGTGTCTGGGGGGGAACTTGCGTTTCGGTTGGTGCTTGCAGCCGCGCCAGGGTTGTCTTTCCATTGGCCCGCTCCACAGCCCCCAGGGGCTCGTTCTGCAATCCAGGGGGGGGGGCTTGCGCCCCTCAACCCATCGCGTGCCTTCCCGGGCCGCCCCCCCTACACGGCCACGGAGGGCCCCAGGGCGCCGCCGAGTTTCCAATTGAGGGCCCCAGGGCGCCGCCGATTTTTCATGTTGATATTCCCCAGGGCGGATCCGGATAGGCAGAAATCACCGCTTCCTGCTCGCCCCCGGAGAATCAAAACATGCCAGTTCCGTCTGTTCGGCATTTTTTGGATTCTTGGGGCGAGGCTGGATACAGATCGTGTGCCTGGGCAGAAGTTGCCCCCGGCGGATTCGACTTGAAAGCTAGACGGGCGGCCCCTGCACCTGGCGTCGATCCGTGGGCCCATTTTGGCACCAGACCTCAGGGCCCACTCCGCCCCTCACGGGCTCTGCTGGCGAGGGTTCCATTTTCGATGCCGATTTCCATTTCGTTTCGTATTCCCAGAGACGCGCGCGCAGCGTGAGCACGACGTTCCCACCGCGGGACACGGCAGTGGCCTGGACGCAGCTCTCTCAGTGGCGGAAGTCCACTTCGCCTGGCCGCGGGCCCGTAGAGGAGGCGGTCGCTTCTCTCCTGGGCGATTTGAGCGATCGCGTGGCGATGCTGTCCCTGCTCGACACCCGAACTTTGAGGGCGGCGGTGGGCGCGACGAAACTGGGGGGCCCAGATGAGTCGCAGGCCTAGAGGTTGACACCATCACCAATATCGGCGGTGTGCCTCCACCGAGGGAAGAATATCCAGATCTCGGTGATGGTGTCAATAATTGTGGCTTCCAAGGTGGCCGAAATATTGCCACCAACACCGAAATCTAGGATCATCTTCCCCATGTGGAGGCAGCCCCCTGTGTTGGTGTTGGTGCCCATGTCTAGGCCTCCAAATGAACTGGTCCTGTTTCGCTCAACCTGATCCACGCAGTTCGGGTGTGACTGATGTTGCGCCTCGCGAGGACGGTTGCGTCCACGGCGAACGGGGGCAGTGGGGTGGATGGGGCTGGGCGTCAACCCGCTGGACGAGGCGACCCCTGTGGAGACCACGGCAAGGCGCCGGCGGCAGTGGCCGCGTTCGGCGCGAACGCGGTCAAGTTGTTGGCGGTGCATGACGAGGGGGACACCACGGAGGTCTCCTTTGCCGAAAAGCCCAAGTACGACATCTGGCGCGCGGTTTACGCGGCTGCCGCGTAAGACACCCCGCCAGAGGCACAAGAACCGACGCTGGAGCAATTATCAGTTCTCCACTGCCGCGTGGCGGTGCTCGGCGTCGCGCCTCACGCGGACTTCGCCGTTCGGGCCCCGTTCAGCAGACGGGGGCTCAGGGCGGTCAAGTTCTGCTGCGTGACGCCCGCAGGAGGCAGCGCGTTCTGTGCGCGCGAGATCGCTGGCCCCAGGACTTGTATGCAGTCGGAGTCATCTTGTCTCCTCGTCATGGTGGCCGCGATCATGCTCGACATTGCCCCTCGCGCGGCCCTGGGCGCCTATCGCCAGAGCGTGGGGTACCTCGTCATGGGTTGGCCTGAGTGCTGGCGCGCCATTGCCCTCGCCGAGGGCAAGATGCGCGCGGAGCATCTCGAAAGGCTCAGGCGATCGCTCGAGGGCGAGGCGCGGGCGACGGGGCAGCGCCCCCCGGGGCACTCCGCGGCCGGGCTGGGGCCAGCAGGTCGGGCGCCCGGCCGCCTCCCGGGTCGCCGACGGAAGAAGCGGGGGGCCCCCTGGCGCATCTCGGGCGGCATGGCCGCCGCTGCCCCGCGCGCTGACGGGCGGGGCCCGCGGCGGGGCCTCCGCGCGCACAGGGCGCCGCATCCCGGGCCTGCCCCCGGAAGCGGAGGAGGCAGAAAGCCAGCCAGCGGCCCTCCTCCGCAGGCGCCTCCTGCGGGGCCAACGGGGGCCCGGGGCGCCAAGGGCCAGTCGTCCGGCAAGGGCGATGAGAGCAGGAGGAGCGAGGAGAAGCGCAGGAATCACAGCGAGGGCGGCGGCGCAGAATCTGGGCGGCTGCCGCCGAGTTCCACGCGCCCCCCCCCCACGGGAGGCTGCAATATGTGCTGGACGCGTGGGCGCACGGGGCACCGCGCGAAGGCTCACGTGCCGTGGGCGCTGCGGCGGGCTCGAGGACTTCGTGCCGACCCCCGAGCCTCGGCGCGCCCGCGCAGGCAGCCACGCCGTCCTCGACGAGGCCCCCCGCGACGGCAGGGGACGGCCACCCGCGCCGCCGCGGCGGGGCGGCTCGGCGACGGCGCACGCTCGCCGCCCCCTCCGGGCGACGGCGAGCCAGGCCCGGCGCGCGCGCCCCGCTGCGAGGCCTGGGCGCGCGGATTCGCGAGGCGCGGCCACTGGGGCAGCGCCCTCGTCAGGGGGCCCCCGCTGCCGCCGGGGGCAGGTGCGCGTGGGCCCGCTGCCCGCTGCCCGGGGGCGCCGCCGCGTCGGGAGCCTCCGACCAAGAGGCAGGCTCAGAGGGCAGAGGGCCGCTGAGCGCTCGGCGGCTTGCGCGTGCCGACTGAGTCGGTGCCCAGGCGGCCCCGCCTGCGGGGCTGGGGGCAGGAGGTGGCATCGCACTTCGACGAGCTCGCCGCTTGTCGCCTGCAGGTCTACGAGGCCACCCAGCGCTTTAGAGACAAGACCTGCGCGGGCCCTCCTGGGGACCACGCGCGGGGGCGGCGAGAGCATCTCGGGCGCGCCGTGGGCGCGCCGCCCGAGCCGCCGCCCCCCGAGACTTGGATGCTGCGCTTCCCGCTCCAGGGCGAGATGCTCCGCGTGCGCCTTCAGCGGGGAGGAGGCCCGGAGACCCATCTGCGGGAGTGGATCCAGGTCGGCGTCCCTCCTGGGCGTTGAGGTCCAGATCCCCGCCGCGGGCATCTTCCCCGAGGCCGCCGCGGACGGGGACCAGCCAAGTGGCGGCGAGTTCGCCCTGTCCGAGGTCCTGCCCGAGGTGGGCAGGTACGCCCCTCCTAATCCGTCTCCCTCCTCCTCGATGTCGTCGTCGTCGTCGTCGTCGTCGTCGTCGTCGTCGTCGTCGTCGTCGTCGTCGTCGTCGTCGTCATTCCCCATCCCTCCCTTCCTCCCTCCCTCCTTCCTTCCCCCCTTCCCGCCTCCCTCCTCCCGCTCCCCTCCTCCTCCTCCTCCTCCTCCTCTTCCACCTTCTCCTCCTCTTCCTCCTCTTCCTCCTTTTCCTATCTCCTCCCTTCTCCTAGCGTTCCTCCTCTCATCTGTCGCTCCCCAGCCTCCTCCTCCTCCTCCTCCTCCTCCTCCTCCTCCTCCTCCTCCTCCTCCTCTTGCTCCTTCTTCCCCTCTGCCTTCTGCTCCCCTTTTCTCTCCCCCTCCCTCTCCGGGCACCTCCTCCTCCTCGTTCCCTTTGACCTTGCAGTCCTCACCGTCTTCGTCGTCCTCCTCCTGATCCTCCCCTGTGCTCCCGATGTTGGAGCAGGGATCACAGGCGAGGCCCCGCCTGTGCCAGCGTGATCTGCGCTCCACCGATCACTGAACAGCTTCCTTCTCGTCGCTTCGGCCCAGTGTTTCTCCAGCAGCTCGAGGAGGCCCGCGCGGCTTTTTTGCGCTTCTCCCGCCCTCGGGATTTCGGCAAGCACTCGACGAGCCTGCCACCTGCGAGAGGTTTTGCGAGCAAGCTGGCCCAGGTTTCGCACAAATGTCTTCCTCTCATCGCTACAGTTGGTGCAAACATCCCCACAAAGACGTCATGTTCCTCCTACCTTCTCCCTCGTCCTCGCTTTGACTTGGCGATCCTTCGTCGACAGGCGCGTCGTCGACCCTCCAGACGAATCGCGGGCTTTCAAGCCTAGCATGGGCCGCACCTCTGTGTTTTTAAATTATTTTCATGTGCTCGTCTGTCATCGCATTCATACGAACGTACTATCACGGAAATCATAATGCTCTTGTGGACGTTACGGCCGAGTCACACATGTAATATTCAATGATTCGCATGCTCACATTTGCAGAGCTGCCGGGGTGATGCGCTCTTTGACGGCAGCCCGTGTGCACGGTATACGCGCATCGGTAACCGATTGTAGGCGTTACGAAAGGAAACGAAACGAAATCACCCCGCGGTGTCCACGGCCATTGTGGGGGTCTCCGCCCCCCCCACCCCCGCGGTTCCCCGAAGGCCACGGCCCACCAGTGCGACAGCAAGGGGTGGAACGCGCTCTGCTACGCCCTGGGCTCGGGCCAGATCTGCACCGCCAGGAGGGCCAGGCGGAGGAGGAGGAGCAGGAGGAGGAAGAGGAGGAGAAGGAGGAGGAGGAGGACGAGGCGGAGGAGGAGAATGGTGATGATGATGCTACTGATGATGATGATGATGATGGTGGTGGTGGTGATGATGATGACGCTGATGATGATGATGATGATGATGATGATGATGATGATGATGATGATGATGATGATGATGATGATGATGCTGCTGATGATGATGATGATGCTGCTGATGATGATGCTGATGCTGATGCTGATGATGATTGCTGATGATGATGCTGCTGATGATGATGATGCGATGATGATCCTGTTGCTGATGATGATGGATGATGCTGATGATGATGATGATGGCTGAATGCTGATGCTGATGCTGATGATGATGATGATGCTGGATGAGGGGGGGGGGTTGATGTTAATGGATGATGCGCTGATGATGCTGATGATGATGATGCTGATGGTGATGTGATGATGATGATGATGATGATGATGATGATGATGATGCGATGGATGATGCGCTGATGATGATGATGCTGCTGATGATGATGCTGATGCTGATGCTGATGATGATGATGATGACGATGCTATGATGATGATGGTGATGATGATGATGATGAGAAGATGATGGTGGTGGTGTTTGGTGGTGATAATGATGATGCTGGATGATGTGATGCTGATGCTGATGCTGCTGACGATGATGATGCTGATGCTGATGCTGATGATGATGATGCTGATGATGATGATGATGCTGCTGATGATGATGATGATCATGACGATGATGATGATGATGCTGCTGCTGATGATGCTGATGATGCTGATGCTGATGCTGATGCTGATGATGATAATGATGATGATGATGTTGATGATGATGACGATGTTCATGATGATGATGCTGCTGATGATGATGATGCTGATGATGATGATGATGCTGGTGGTGGTGGTGATGATGATGATGCTGATGATGATGATGCTCATGCTGAAGCTGATGATGATGATTCTGATGCTGATGCTGATGATGATGTTGATGATGATAATGATGCTGATGATTATGATGATGATGATGATGACGATGTTCATGATGATGATGATGATGATGATGATGATGATGATGGTGATGGTGATGATGATGCTGCTGATGATGATGATGATGATGCTGCTGATGGTGATGATTCTGATGATGATGATGATGATGATGATGCTGATGATGATGATGATGATGATGATGATGATGGTGATGGTGGTGGTGATGATGATGAGGATGCTGATGATGATGATGATGATGATGATGATGATGATGATGATGATGATGGTGGTGGTAACGATGATGATGATGATGATGATGATGATGATGATGATGATGATGATGGTGGTGGTGGTGGTGGTGATGATGCTGATGATGATGATGATGTGTATGATGATGAGAGATGATATGATGATGATGATGATGATGATGATGAGGAGATGATGATGATGATGATGATGATGATGATGATGCTGAGGTGGAGGAGGATGAGAGGAGGGAGGAGGAGGAGGAAGAGGAGGAGGAGGAAGAGGGGGAGGAACAAGGGGGAGGAGGAGAAAGAGGTGGAGGAGGCGGAGGAGGAGGAGGGAGGAGGAGGAGGAGGAGGAGGAGGAGGGGGAGGGGAGGAGGAGGAAGAGGAGGAGGAGGAGGAGGAGGAAGATGAAGAGGAGGAGGAGGAAGAGGAAGAGGAGGGGGAGGATGAGGAGGAGGATAAGGATGAGGCGGAGGAGGACGAGGAGGCCCTGACAGCGAAAGATGGAGGTGTACGCATATGGTGATGAATGGTTGGATTAGCAGGATGATGTGGCGGCGAATTTGACCATTAGGAGGGGGCAAGGAGGATGACCAGGAGGAGGAGGAGGAGGAGGAGGAAGAGGACGATGCGGAGGAAGAGGAGGAGGAGGAAAACGACTAATACGAAACGACGAGCGCGAACACGAGTACTAATGTTCATGATGATAAGGAGTCTACTGTTACGAATCGGGCGAATATTAAGACTACTGGCATCACTACTACGGTGCGGAGAGTACCACTACTACTACTACTACTACTACTACTACTACTACTACTACTACTACTACTACTACTATTACTACTAATACCCATAACGGCATACTGCCCACACAGGTAATACTAGTAATACTGAGACGACGAAAGCGACCCATACTGGTACACATCAGAAACACATTACCCATGCTAATCAGCAGAACGTTGACACTACTACAGATTGACTAAGATGAGCACGAATTCGACTCCCACTTCTAATAACAGTACTAATTCTATCAATGCTAATATTAAGCATACGGGTGATACCTGTACTATCACACTACTACTACTACTACCCCTACTACCACTACTACGGCCACTACTACTAGTAACGCTAGTACTAGTCCTACTATTTTGAATCGTCGTATTCGTAGTAGAAGTCGTCGCCGTAGTGGTCGTAGTAGCCGTGGTAATCGTAACAATAGTAGTCGTAGTCGTAGACGTAGTAGTAGTAGTAGCAGTAGTAGTAGTAGTAGTGGTAGTAGTAGTAGTAGTAGTAGTAGTAGTAGTAGTAGTAGCAGCAGTAGTAGTAGTAGTAGTAGTAGTAGTAGTCGTAGTATAAGTATTAGCAGTAGTAGTAGTAGTAGTAGTAGTAGTAGTAGTAGTAGTAGTCGTCGTCTTAGTAGTAGTCGTAGTAGTAGTAGTAGTAGTAGTAGTAGTAGTAGTAGTCGTAGTAGTCGTAGTCGTAGTAGTAGTAGTAGTAGTAGTAGTAGTAGTAGTAGTAGTAGTAGTAGTAGTAGTAGTAGTAGTAGTAGTAGTAGTAGTAGTAGTAGTAGTAGTAGTAGTAGTAGTCGTAGTCGTAGTAGTAGTAGTAGTAGTAGTAGTAGTAGTAGTAGTAGTAGAAGTGGTAGTCGTAGTCGTAGTCGTAGTAGTAGTAGTAGTAGCAGCAGTAGTAGTAGTAGTCGTCGTAGTAGTAGTAGTGTAGTAGTAGTCGTAGTATAGTATAGTATAGTATAGTATAGTATAGTATAGTTTAGTGTAGTATCGTATAGTATAGTATAGTATAGTATCGTATAATATAGTATAGTATAGTGTAGTAGTAGTAGTAGTAGTAGTAGTAGTAGTTTCAGTCGTAGTAGTAGTAGTAGTAGTAGTGGTAGTAGTAGTAGTAGTAGTAGTAGTAGTAGTAGTAGTAGTAGTAGTAGTAGTAGTAGTAGTAGTAGTAGTAGTAGTAGTAGTAGTAGTAGTAGTAGTAGTAGTAGTAGTAGTAGTAGTAGTAGTAGTAGTAGTAGTAGTAGTAGTAGTAGTAGTAGTAGTAGTAGTAGTAGTAGTAGTAGCAGTAGTAGTAGTAGTAGTGGTAGTAGTAGTACGACTAATACTAACAACATCAGGAACATATCAATGCCATACGTAATTTCATTATTACCAATCATACTACTACCAGCAACCACACGAATGGTACTACGAATGCTACTACTACTAGTACTAGTATTTCTTCTTCCTCTTCTGATACGACCACTACTATTTATACTATTCATAATATTAGTAATTCATATCAATACTAGTCATACTACTAATAAACTGGTTAATACTACCACTAAGGCTCGACAAATAACAACGATAATACTGATCCGAATAATCATACGTATAGTAATGAGAAGCAGAATGCGAAGATGAAAAAGAAGAGGACGAGGAGGACCAGGAGGCGGCTTGGGAGCTCCGAGCGCCAGCTGCATGCGGCTGACTCGCTAATTCCGCTCTTTGCTTGCCCCCCTTTGAGTTTTCTTTGGTGCACCGGGCCAGGGCCTCACCAGCTCCGAGGTGTGGCGCGGGGGTTGGAGGGATGGGAGGGTGATGGAGTCAACTCTCCCCGAAGCATCTTTCCTCCCTCTCCCCCCTCTCATCTCCATTCCCCTCTCCCCCCTCTCCCCCTCTTCCCCCCGACTCGGCATCGAAGAGTTGTCGATTTTGTATTTTGGGCAGCTGGCGTGAGCTGGTTACTTAGCTGTCGCGGTGCTCTTCTGAGGCGTCCCACCCGTCCCAGGTCTTTGACGGGACTTCTTCTTTTCTCTTCCCTTCCCCCCCAGTCCCCGCGCGGGATTGGCGGGGGAGAGAAGGCGTGAGCGTCGTGAACCCACGGCGTGGGTTCACGACGCTCACGACGCCACTCGGTGGCGCCAGGGCCCGAGGCGGGCTTCGGAGGCCGAGATCCCCCAGACTGGGCCTGCCTTCAGGGGCCCGCACCTGCGGTGCGGGGGGCGGGCCCCTGGAGCGCCCAGGGTCGGGCCACGACCGCCCCCTGCAGGGTCTGCGCGTGGGTACGGGCGTGTGGCTCGACGTCGGCCGTCGTCGAGTTCGTGAGGCTTTGGCGGCCGAGATCCCCCAAACTGGGCTTGCCTTAAGGGCCCGCACCCTGCGCTCGGCAACACCCCAACATACTTATACTATATGTGCGTCGCCCCCCCAGGGGCGACGCGCGCACCGAGAAATCTTACAGTATGTGCGTCGTGGCGGGCGCTTTCTGGCCACACCGCCCGGGAAACGGTATACTACAAGATGGGTATACTGTATGTTCGGGTCGAATGCGCGCCTCCAAGGAGGACATATAGTACTAGTATGTCCATGTGCGTCCCATGCGCTGCGGGGGGCGGGCCCCGGAGCGCCCAGGGCCGGGCCATGACCGCCCCCTGCAGGGTCTTCTGCGCGGGTGCGGGCCTGTGGCTCGACGGCGGTCGTCGTCGAGGTCACGAGCCCGAGCTCCGGCGCAGGAGGAGGAGGAGGAGGAGGAGGAGGAGGAGGAGGAGGAGGAGGAGGAGGAGGAGGAGGAGGAGGAGGAGGAGGAGGAGGAGGAGGGGAGGAGGAGGAGGAGGAGGGAGGAGGAGGAGGCGGGGGAGAAGGCTTTGGCGGCCGAGATCCCCCAAACTGGGCTTGCCTTAAGGGCCCGCACCCTGCGCTGCGGGGGGCGGGCCCCGGAGCGCCCAGGGTCGGG